TTAAATTAATATCCAATAAGTCATCCACATCCTCTATGTTTACCGATGATGATGATGGTGATGATGAATCCATTCTCTTGTTTTTCACCTGCTGTGACCGAATTTGCCTCATAATAGACCTTCTGCTTTTCTTTTTCTGACGAATATTTTCTTTACTCATTTGTTTAAAAGATTCGTATTACCTCTTTCTTTCGTATGCTTCGAATTCTGTTTTTAGATCAGAGCAAACACGATGGAAGCATAGAGAACGAACGTAAAAGAAAAATAAATATATATCTCGCTACGTGACAGAATCAGAGTCAAGATAACATTCTGTACAATAGAAAGAAATATATTTTACCGTTACAAATTGAAATGCGCAAAAACATTGAATTATTCGAAAGACGTCGTTTTTCTTGAATAAAGGTTTTCAGAAAAACCTCTGTAAAACTCTTAAAATCCATCGTAAACAAAATAAACTATAGTGCATTCGATAGCGAACGTGATGCTCTATTACATGCACTATTTAAAAAAGAACTCGATAAATTTGACAAAAATCAACTTTTTTTGGATGGGGGCTGGGCCTTAAAAAAATCTTATCGGGCAAAAATCCAAGTTACATTATTTCTTGAATATAATGAGAAATAGAGCCAAAATTCTGACTTTCGTAAGCTTATTTTTAAATCGCGTTTTTTTTAAATAGAAAATACATATTCTCTAACGTAACTTGACGAGCTCTATCCGACAATCAAGAAGAAAATGCTCTGCTAAAAAATTGGATTGTGGACATCGTACATAGAGTGTAAACACCTTAAAACTTGAATATCTCGGTCTGTGCACGCTAACATTAGTCAATATTTTAAATTTGTTAGTTTGACAGTGAGACCTTTCTTTTGACCCAAATATGTCTAGTGTTTTTTAATTTACAATACAAACACCTTCATTGTTAGTAGTCGCCCCCTTCCCTAACTCTTAGTGACTTTGAAATACTCCTGATTAAGCTTCATTACCATAGTGAAGTGATTAAATTGTAAAACAAAATTTTTCAATCTTGACTTATTAGTAGCAAGGTAGTGTAACTATCATCAATCTAATATTATCCAAATTCTACTAATCGACAGTTTAATAGAATAAAAATTTATTGTATCAATTCTTTTTTTTTACAAACAGAAAAACATTCATCAAATCAAAAAAAAACACCGAAATAAAAATAGCATTAAAAGGAAAAAACACGAAGTGAAAATGTCTTAAGGATTATTTTGAATACTGATAAAAATAAAACAAAAACAACATCTATTCATTGAGAATTACTAGGTAAATAATAATATAATTGAAACTTATCCGTATTCTTTTCAAGACCATCAATTATATGAGATAAGTAACCAGAAACATTTTCAGTTTTATGTAATTGTTTAGCTTTTCGTAAAAATTCATGTTCTAATAATTGTTTATATTTTGGTCGTTGTTTTTCATCTTTATTTAGACTAGAAAAAATTCTCAAATTAAAATAAATCAAATAATTAAATATTATTTTTACCATGTATTTACAAAATTTTTACAATTATCAGAAAGACGATCGATTTTTAGTTCTAATGAAGGTCCTTCAATAATTTGTTCTAATTGATCAAATACCGATGTCCATTCTCGAAATGGAAAATATCCTGTAGATATTTCATACTGAAAAAAATAAATGTATAGATTGATGTAACTGGTTTTTTTTTCTTGCTTTTATATTATTTACAAGTGTTATTCCAAGTGACCAAACATCCGATCGAACATCATAACCATCAAGTGTTGCTCGTGTTGGATCAATACGTTCAGGCTTTAAAAAAAATCGAAAATTATCAGAAAATATTTACGATTATTTTTTCCTACTGGTAAATATGGACGACAACCAGCATCACGTGTTTTAGCAATAGAATCAATTAATTGACCACTTATACCAAAATCACAAAGTTTAAGTGTTGTTCTTGAAACTAAAATATTCGATGGTTTGACATCTCGATGTATAATTTTCCAACGAGATTTTATATAATCAAGTGCTTGTAATGTCTAACAAATAATTCATATTAAAATAAAACCTATTAGTACCATCCTTGCAGAATTAAGATATGAAAAATGGTATAGCTGCTCTTGAAAATCATACAGAGATTATTTTATTGTCTATTATGAGACACATTTCTTCATTTTCCTTCTCCCTAGTCCTTCATAGATACAATAGGTCATATATTAGAACGAGACGTTCTTGATACACAGCCTGTGACCAAATACCAACAATGTTTGTCACGATCTGTAGAGAGTAGAACCTGTCGATCAAACTTTTTTGAAACCGGTCGAACCGTACTTTGATATTCTCAATGAAATTTTCTGATCGGAATTGGATAGTCACCCCGAAGATACGAGATATTTTTTTGTCGATTTTTTGTATTCGATGACAAGTGCGCCCTACACATGTCTCAGATAACTAGAGCTCTTCAGGTTGAAAAATTTTAGATCCGGACCGGATGGGCTTTAGTGAAAGGTGAGATCCAAATTTGTAACCCTATACTTCAACACTCCTTTTGCATCGCTTTTCACAAAATATTATTAAAAAAAAAAAGAAAAATAGAACCTTACAGCAAATGTTATATATGCAAGAATACTTTCTGGTATAAATTGATCAAGTTTATGATAAACAAATTTATAAAAATAATCAAGTGATGTATTCATTAATTCCATACATATCCAACAATCTCCCTAAATGAATAAAAAATAAAACATATATGTCAAGTAAAAAAGAAATTTAATTAAAATAATAACTTCTTTAAAAAGAGCACCATAAAATTGTACAATATGTGGACAAGTATTATCACGCATAACAATATCGAATTCTTTGATCATTTGTTTTTGACACCGTTCATCAACAGTCGAATGAATACGCTGAATAAAATTGAAAACAAATATTAAGATGAATATTATTAACTACTTTGACAGCCATCATTGTTCCACTTTTTTCATGTAGCATTTTACACACAATACCAAAATTTCCTTCTCCAATTACACCACACTCGATCAAATCATTCGATGTAAATTTATATGACTAATTAAGAAACATCTTACAATAATTCAATAAATTTAACAAATCCAGAACAAACTTTTGTATCTGATAAACGAAGTTCGCCAGTGCTAAGATCACGATGATTGAATGGTGATGAATTTGGACGGCTACAATCGAATAGATAAGAGATTTTAGTTCATATATTTTTGTTCGCTAAAGAAGAATTTTGGTTTAGTTAGAAAAAAGTATGCGAACAACGAATTGTTTGAATATATTAGATCCAGATATGAGTGGGACTGGTTGTTTTGCTACTGATTTAAACAAAAAAGAATTTCGTCTTACGAAAAGTTTCTTTAAATGATTAATAGCCTTCTAGATAAGTCCTGTCTGATTTAGTAAGTCCTATTGAGATTAGACAATACCAAAACGAATTCGTATCAATGAGTTATTCTTCTTGAATTAGAACTATTTTAGTAGAATTTTTCAACAAAATACAACGATCATCTTTAAAGTCGACTGTCGATTTTAAATTTTATAACATAAAGCTCTCAATGAAACTAGTTCATTGTGATAGTATCTGATTTCTCTAGTTTCTCCTATCGTCAGATACCAATATTTAAAATTGTATTATACAAAAAAGTAAAGTTTGTTGTCATTACATAAGCTAACATTCTCATAATGAACTAACAAGTCAATTTCAACGATGTTTGTTGCAAAACTCATTAAAATGGCTATACATCAAGCAAAGAGATCTATGTTCATGAATTCTTTAAAAACTCTCCCATGTCTCAATATGGCTTACCTAATGCAGTAAGACTTATCTCCAAAGTGATTGATTATTTGGGAAGGTTTCCTTGTTAGTTCCACCAGTATTTAGTGCGGTAATATTGAAAGATAAATCTTATGAACTCTTTAAAGACTAATAAGAATCTTTATGAACTATACTCAAAATTCTTTTTTTCAAATAGCAAATTATCAAAATGAGAAATGACTGATTTATTCTACACTTCCTAGATGCTTTATCTTATTGATAAACTTAGTTTCTCTATTGAACAGTGTCATTAAGATGACGATTCAGAAACAAAAATTATAAAATCAATCGATTATGTGTAAGTTAATCATGTTTACTAGCTGAGTTTTATCTGTAAAATTTCGTTTCTGTTGAAAACATTTGCTTATATATTTTAATAACTTTTTCAAAAAAACAAGATCATACATCACAGAATTAATATCTTCATTATTGGAATTTGGTTTGTTTTTACTAGTTATTGAATCTGTTTCAAATTGAAACGGTTTACGTATTGGTTTACTCACTAAAACAAAATAAACAATTGAAATTGTTTTTTTTTTGAGTTACAAAATATTACTTCTCTCTTAATATTTCAATGATTGAATGCCAAAAAAGTACAAGTCAGTCTGCATCTGAAAAAAGAAAAAATATGATTCATCATCGAGGATAAATGCCATATGTTGCTATGTCAGAAAGAAGTAAATAAATAAATGTAAGAGAACAATTGGTTGGTCTTTTAAAAAATATGATAATTTTTGTTTTTATTTATATGATTCATCATCAACGATTTTTTAATAATTTCTGTTTCTATGACACACATATAAATATTTTTTTTATTTAAATTTTAATCATTAAATTCATTGGAAAATAACAAATAGAATACTGAAGAAATATAAACATGCACCATGGATCAAGTATTTTAGGTTTTTTAACATTTTTTTAATAAAATACACGCCATAAACTTATAGCACTTTGTTTTTCGTTAAATGATGTTGTCCATCAATTAAACCATAATGATATTCGAAGATCAAATAATTGATTATTATAATTTCCAAGAGTTTTTCAAACCAAGTTTTTTTGTTAATGAATACATTTGTTTTGCTTGACATAGAAAACAAAATAGGAGAATTTCATATGAATCTTGTTCAATGAAAAGATCATTAACAAAAAACGAAGAATACCATTCACAGATATTCAATGATTATTATCTGAATAATGTTTAAATAATTGTTCATAACAATCAATTGATGTCGATAATTGTTTTGTATTGGACGACACTATTAAAGTTATTTTAGCAAGAAGTTCAGGAATTTTATGTAATGGTAAATCATGACGAGGTTCTAATGTCGATGAATTTATTTGTCGATATGAATTATGAGAATTGAGAATTTGATGTTGTTCATCATCTTGTTTAACTTTTTTTCTTTATATGCTTTATTAAAACTAATGAACGAATATTTTGCTTATGTGACATAAATCTTTTATTTCACTAAGCAATTTTTCAGGAAACTGATCTATGAACATTATGATCAAAAACACAAATGAAATTTTCGAATAAATCATAATCTAACATCAATAATGATTTAATAATTATTGTTTATTGATATATCATATTGAAATCATATAACTCTAAAACTAAAAGATTTTAATCGATAAAAATTTAAATATTCATTTGTTGACCTATTTCATCTATCCATGATGATGATGATGACGCATCACCATTGCTTTCTTTTTACTGGACAATATTCGATCAATAATATTTATCATACAACCATTAGAATAATATCCAATCCTCTCAATTCTTCAACTTGATTATATCATTGCTTATTTTATAAACCAGTTATATTTTCAAAATAGTTTATATAAAACATAACAACTGAGCTTCGGAAGATCCATTTTAGCTTTTGTTTTTTTTTTGCTTAACTAAAAACTATCTGTTTCTTTTTTAGTATTAGCTAAATTAATTATCTAGCAAAAAGAAAAAGAAAATGTATTCTCGTTTCGTATTTCGATCAATTCAAGGTTCAACACCATCGTTGATTTTCAATCGTTTTCTTTCATTAACTCAAGTACAATTATCAGCAGCAACAAAATTAAAAGAAATACCATCAGCTGCAACAAAATCTGAAAAGTCTACTGCTAACACGGAAAAACCTGCTGATAACAAGGAAAAACCTGCTGCTAACATGGAAAAACTATCGACTCCACCACCAATGAAAACAAGTAATGTATCATCAGAAGATAAAAAACCAATTCCACCACCAACATCAGGTATAAATGATCCCAATAAAACTTTTTCGGAAAAAATTCATCGACTTGTTGATGAAATAAGTAAATTATCATTAGTTGATGTTATGGATTTAAATGAATTATTAAAAGTAATATTTTGCAAAAAATAGAAAATTTAATCTATGATTTGTTTGTTTTTTCTTTGGTTTAGAAAACACTTAAGATTCAAGATGTACCAATCATGGCATCCGGCGGAGTTAGTAGTGCACCATCACCAACTGCAGCCGTACGTAAAATAAATTCTATTGTTTGATTGATTTTTTTGTTGTTGTTGTTTATGTTATAGAAAAAAGAAGAAGACGAAGAAGAAAGTGCTCGACCAACAGCACAATCGGTATTTAAAATACGTTTAATTAAATTCGATGAAACGAAGAAAGTCCCGGTTATTAAACAAGTCAAAGATGTTGTTGAGAATATTAATCTTGTTCAAGTAAATATCTATGAAATTTTTTGTTGTTCGTTGAATTTTCTAAAATATTTTTTGTATTTATATTTTAGGCTAAAAAATTAGTTGAATCAATTCCTCAAGTTCTTCGAGATAATTTAAGCAAAGCTGATGCTGAAACAATGAAAGCTAAAATTGAAGCTGCTGGTGGTGTGTGTGTTGTTGAATGAGAGAGAAACTTTTATATCTCTCATTCTAGGCTAGTTTATTTCATTGTTCCTTTGTTAACTTTTGTTTTTTTGTAAAAAAAAGAGAAGAACAAAGAGGAAAAATTCATTTACTTCTTTTTTATTTCGTTTTTGTTGATATTCTACTAACAAGAAGAGAAATGATGTTCGTATAGAGTTTTGTTATTAACAAAAAAATTTTTCCTACTCGTTTTAGATTGAACAAGTTACGGTTTTGGATAGGGATGTAACAATGACGCACATCATACTATTGTTGGCACCGGTCTACCGTATCTTCTGTGCTCTGTAAAAAAAAATGGTTGAGAATAATAAACTCTCATTATCCGTTTATTATCATTAGATAAACCCTTTGTAGGTTTATGAACATAGAGAACAGTACAAGGGTGTATGAATTTACAACGGGTCACAAATCCTTGCCCAGGTTTATGAAAGAGTAGATTATGTTCATAAACCTCAAAAGGATTTATTATTCTCCACTATTTTTTTTTGCAGAGTAGTACCGATTTTACGTACAGCTTTGCACTGGTTTAAGTATGTATAGACTCATGATGCACGAATGATAAAACTATGGTGGTCTTGGATTGATTTCGTCTTTTCCGGCTGGGAAGGCCATTTCAAGAGAATAGCTGAATTTGTTTTGTTTTGTTTTGTTTTCTAAAATTTAACTATTTGTTTTTAAATAAACCTTCTGAGACCGAAAAAGTCGAAATGAATTTAAGATAATTGTAGTTCAGAGCTATTGCAAGCATTGCGATAATTTTCTAATATTGAAAATTTTTTCAGAAAGAGCTTAGAAAACTAATGGTTAAATTTTGAGAAACTTTACATCAATTCTTATCGAAAAAAGCAGGGGCATAAATAATGAGAAGTGTTATGCTCCACGTGTTTTCGAAAAATATCCATGCAGTACCCCTCCCTGCTTCCAGTGCTGAGTTATGTCTCTGCAAAAAATTCAACATCGCAATATTTTTTTTTGTTCTTTTCATTTTTTGCCTTATTTACAACTTTAGACATAGTTCTAAAATAATCTCTATTTTAGATTGAAATAAATTTGTCTATTTTTCAAACGTTGGCAAATGACTCTCACTAAACGTCTTCCACTTGCCACGTGTAAGTTTAATTCTTTTTTTTTTTTGTTCTTTCTAAATATGAATTAATTTTAATTCTTATTTTAGTTCTTCAATTAAGTAGTCGACATTTAGCTACTCAAACAACACCAACACCTCCACCAGCCAATCCACCTAAAGCTCAAGCACCAGCACCAGCACCTCCAGCTCCACCCCAAAAAGTGTCTTGAAAATATGAAGAAAATTCAAAAAGCAAAACTAATTTTCTCTTTCTATTGATTTAGACGAAATTCGGTCCATTAAAAGATGAAGATCGTATATTTACTAATCTCTATGGTCGACATGATTGGCATTTAAAAGGAGCTCAGGCTCGAGTATGTTTTTTTTTATTATTTTGATTAAAATTATTTGTAAATACAAATACAAAATAGGGTGATTGGTATAAAACGAAAGAAATTGTTTTAAAAGGTTCACCTTGGATTATTGATGAAATAAAAAAGAGTGGATTACGTGGTCGAGGTGGTGCTGGTTTTCCATCTGGTTTAAAATGGAGTTTTATGATTAGACCTCCCGATGGACGACCAAAATATTTAGTCATCAATGCTGATGAAGGTAAACATAATGCATGTTTGACTCAAAAACCTCTTAAAAGTGTTCATTCCTATGGTTCTCTGGAGGCGAGTTATGACCGTTTAAATTGAACTTTCGCTCATAAATGGATTGAATGACTAGTAGAATATCCTGAAGATTTCAGCCAAAAGTAATGTTCCTTTGTCAAAATATTGAATTTTCAAAAAAATGCTCGTTAGTCATAAACATCAAATTTATCCTGAAAATTCAATATTTTGACAAAGGAATATTGTTTTTGACTGAAAATTTCAGAATATTCCCAGAGTCATCGGACGTATCTATGGACAAAATCTCAGGTCCAATGTCCGTTATTTAATTTTTCGTTAAATATATAAAACTGGATCGAAAACTCATTAAAACGATCATAACTTAGTTCTAGAGATCCGTAAGGATGAACCCTTTTAGGATTTCTCTAGTCTTAATGAGACTTGCTTGTAAACCCAATATGAGCTTCAACGGCGGGTATCACACTTTGGATATTTTGCTCATCAGAGAAAAAACTTGAAATGCATGAAGTGAAAGTCAATTTCCTTTTCGTGTCATTTTGCTAACAATGGTTTTTTTTACTGATGACTTCTTAGAATAAAGGCGCTGATTTTTTCAAGGTATCTAAAGTAACTTAACATATAAAAATTACCACTAGAAAAAATTCATTATCTCGAGATATACATGTTTTAATTTAGTAAACAAATGATTTAGCTTTTATGTATATATTTTTTCTTTGTTTTTAAGGTGAACCTGGAACATGTAAAGATCGAGAAATAATGCGTCATGATCCACATAAACTTATCGAAGGTTGTCTTGTTGCTGGTCATGCAATGGGTGCACGTGCTGCTTATATTTATATTCGAGGAGAATTTTATAATGAAGGTTCAAATTTGCAAACAGCTATTCATGAAGTACTTTTTTTGCAAAAACAATGGAATATTTCACTAGAATATATAAATAAAATCGATTTTTAGGCATATCAAGCTGGTTTTATTGGTAAAAATGCATGTGGAACTGGTTATGATTTTGATATATTTATGCATCGTGGTGCCGGTGCTTATATTTGCGGTGAAGAAACTGTAAGTTTTCAATTAGGAATTTGATTTAAAATAATTGTTATGATATTTTTCTTTTGTCAGGCATTAATTGAATCATTAGAAGGTAAACAAGGTAAACCACGTTTAAAACCACCATTTCCAGCTGATGTTGGTTTATTTGGTTGTCCAACAACTGTAACAAATGTTGAAACAGTTGCTGTTGCACCAGAAATATGTCGTCGTGGTGCTGATTGGTTTGCTTCATTTGGACGTGAACGAAATCGTGGAACTAAAGTTTGTTATTTTATAAAAAAGAAAAAAGAGAGATAATTTATTTAATTTGCTTTTTAATTTAGTTATTTTGTATAAGTGGACATGTGAATAATCCAGTAACAGTTGAAGAAGAAATGTCAATACCATTAAAAGAACTTATTGAAAGACATGCTGGTGGTGTACGAGGTGGTTGGGATAATTTATTAGCAATCATTCCTGGTGGATCATCGGTACCTTTATTACCAAAAAAGTAATAGATAATAATATGAACAAAAATGAAATTATTATTAAAATTATTTTAGAATATGTGATGATGTTTTAATGGATTTTGACGCACTTGTTGCTGTTCAATCAGGTTTAGGTACAGCAGCTGTTATTGTTATGGATAAATCAACAGATGTTATTAAAGCTATTGCTCGTCTTTCGGATTTCTATCAACATGAATCATGTGGACAAGTAATTAATAATGTTTTTTAAAAGGAAAAAAAAAAGAAACAAGTATTTTTACATTTATTTAGTGTACACCATGCCGTGAAGGCACTGGTTGGCTTGCTAAAATGATGAATCGATTTGGTAAAAAAATAATGGATACCCGTTGGATTTGGTGACCTATATTGAACTAGGATACCATATATATATATATAGTTTTGTAGAGCAATTTATAGGACATCGAATGATATATAAGCAATCAAGTTTAATGAAAATTTTGGTGTGCTGAAAGTCCATATACTGGGTATAATCCGTGAGGAATATATATAACTTTGTAGTTCCTAAGACATTCTAAAATAAACTTATGGAAATTTTTTTAAAAGTCAGTTCAATACAGTTATAGGTGCATTTCAATTTTCTA